AGGTGAAGAGGTAGGTAGCAGGTGAACTTGTGAGTGTTAAGGTTCCCACAGGTGAGTGAACAGTGACTCAGCGAAGCACCTGTCAGCGAGGCCATACAGGAGTCGGGAAGTCAGCAGCGATGGGCGAGTCACTGTAAGTCATATAGTTGATGCCGAGTCACTTGATTACCAACGTGAGTCAGTATGAATCAACAGGACATCTTAATCAGTGGCAAAACACGTTAGAGCACTCACGCGCGTTTGTGTGTGTGTGTGTGTGTGTGTGTGTGTGTGTGTGTAATGATTAATTTGGTAGTAAATATATTTTTTTTCAATAATTCTGTCGACTATTTATGACAAAAAAATACGATTCTTGTAATATCTTTAGACAAGAGTATTAATCACTGTCTTTATCGTAATAATTTGATATATAAAAACTAATAACGTCTTGGCTGGAAATTTCCTGCCGGGCGCGTAATTGGCTACTCACGCCCAGGGATATTAGCCAATTTTCTTACCCTATTTCACACGGCTGAATAAATTATTTTCTATTCTCATTCTAATAGAAAAGTAATAAAATAGAGAGGCTGATTGATAGGTCCCCCTGGAAATTTACATAAGATTCATTTAAGTTGCAAATATGGAAAATAGTTTAGTTTACGGTTGAAGACTTTAGGGGTGACTGAGATGGTTGACGTTGAGGGAAAAGGTAAAGATTATATCCACCAACATTCTCAATCATCAATCGGCTCTGCAAAGAGAATCCTATCGCCACACCTGTCATTCCCACATACGTCACTCCACACACCTGTCATTTCCACATATACATTCCCAATAAAACATTATACACGCTGATTAAATATTTTTTTTTTTTTACAGGTACTTCAACTTCCAGGGTTATTTACGCCGTTAATACACATAATTCGGGTGTATATATATTTTGTTTCCATCTTCCATTTCTACTGCGGACTTGATAGTTGTTGGTTCTGTCCTAATGATAATGTTCCCACACCCTTCTTGTCCCATCTATTCTAAACAAAAGAATTAAACCTGACAGCTGAATCATTAACAATTCTTCTATTCACCATTAGCTTATTATTTCTGTCGTGTTCGTCATTTATTAAAAAAATAATAATAATAAAAAAAATAAATAAATAAATCTTCCCGTCTTCGTCCCCGCCATTTCCTGTTGACAGTCACGTCTTCCCGCTCTTTCCCAGGACAACGAACAGGCGTTGGTTGAGTAAATTTACCTCCTTCATGTTATCATATTTACTTATCAGGAATTTTTCCTCTCGAGTCGTTTCGTTATTTGGCGACTGTTCTGGGTATCAATATTTAATCTCTTGTTATGTATCCCAATTGTTCTTTCTCTTGAGTCTCAGTTCTCAGGCGCCATCTTGCTAACAGAATGCAGTAAATTGTTATTCATATAAAACTCACTAAAATGGTAAAAATCCTGATAATATATCCACCGTTTTTATATCTACTCCTCCATCCACCGTTTTTATATCCACGCCTCCAGCTACAACATAAATCACTAATTCAAAAATAACAGATGGTGGTAGGTGGCGTCTGGTCGGCGGTGGATGGAGGCGTATACTCAAACTCGTTCTCAGCAGGACTGACACTTCACACGCGTAATGATATTCCGGCCTGAATAACCTCGACCTATCTCCATCATCTTCGGGAGTCGAGGGTTGCGGAAAGTGGAATAATAGGGAGCTGTGTAAAAAAAAAATACATATTAACTGCCGTACGCGAAATGTTGCCATCGGGTGGAGCGCGTAAATAAACCTACGCATATCCTTCTTGTTATTTTTCACACCAAAGTTTAATATAATTATTGAATTATATACGAAATTAATAATATATACCATGAGAGAAAGCAAGACATAGAGATAGTGAGATAGAGAGAGAGAAGTGGGGAGAGGACTCGTAAAAGCGTATCTAATTCCCTCATTGACCTACGCCACGGCAAAACAACGCTTCAAAATGACTAACAAAATACAAGTCGAGATTCACCAGCAACTAGAAGCAGTCACATTATCCCTCACCAGAAGATAAAAATTAACATAACGCGTCTTGGCGGACTATCCAGACTCGGGAATCTCGTATGCAAATCGAACGGTATCTAGTAATCATGGCCATAAGCATTCATACGCAAGGATTTACGGTAGAAGGTATACCTGTAGGAGGTACTTACGACCACACTAAGATTTGCGGTATAAGGTATAGGAGGGACTTACGACCGACGAGGAAGGTATTCACTCATACTCTCGGAATATAAAGGATGGTATACCTTAACTCTACTAAAATTATGACTGGTAAGGGGTGAAATGTGAGCTCTGAACCTCCTCTACACCAGCCAGCCATTGTTGACTGGAGTACCGCCTCAAGTGACATATTCCAAGAGATGTTTTATTGAACGGTAATGGACGTTTAGGATATACAGATTTATCTGTTATTTTACGTAACATGAGTGTTATTATTTAGTGTTTTTGAGAGAGATAAACAGAGAAAGAGAAGGAGAGAGATAAAGAAAGTCTTAATCTCTTTGTTCAACTGCTGAGTAAACGAACCCTCAGGATCAGGTGTAAACGTCATATATAAAACTAACCTAAGTTGAACAATCTTAAACCACCTTAAATCTACATACCTTGATATGACATTTGGTACGTTAGGTTAGGTTAGTTTGGGTTAAGTCAGGTTAAGTTATAGTATGATTATCATTATTGAAACTCTTATCATTCTTATTGTCATTAATAATACTGTGATTGCCATTTTAGGTATTATTATTATTATTATTATTATTATTATTATTATTATTATTATTATTATTATTATTATTATGATGATGATGATGATGATGATGATTGATGATGATTGATGATGATTGATGATGATGATTATTATTATTATTATTATTTTTATTATTTCTCCCTGCATGAAAATACAACAATATGCCTCATGTACGCAATACGCCTGACACAAGCACCATTAGCTCTCCCGGGGCTGGGCTGACCATTGACCCGTAACTAATGGAGAAGTTCACCTGGGCTGCCCGCCACCCATTAGTGACGTTCAGTGACCTACGACAAAATTTCCACACACTCCTGGGTTATTTTTCCTTCTTAAATGTTATATATGAGAAAGACTTTGTAAATATACTTTGTGTATTTGTGCATATTTATAAAAAAAAAATAGTCACACTAACAGTTTGGGTGGAGTTTAGATGCCATTTCGTTACCATCTTTGTTCCATAGCTTAAGTGAGGGAGGTAGGTGCATTGTGAGGAAAGTGAGGGTAATTATTTTGAGAACTTATACATGTGCCGCAGCTAAAGTGAGTCAGTCAGATGTACTCTCACATATCTAGTTAGAGAAAATATTTAACTTAAGAATCTTTTGAGAATCCATCTATGTTACGTAGTTTAAGTGAATAAATTAGACATATTCTCACATCTTCAGCTAAGATTGAAAATTTTAACTGATTAACCATTTGATTGACTTATCTTAAATGAGTGATAAATTTACCTCAAGTTCCTTTGAAATTCCGGGATCAGATTTATATATTATCGTAGGAACCTTTGAGAATATTAAGGGAGATTAATATCGTATCTCGAGGTATTTTCAATGTTTACCTGGATAATTTACCCCAAAAGCCTTAAATTTATGTTTCACTTTAGGAAATTTAATATCTTTTAGGATCACCGCACACGTGATCCCTACGCCTTGGTGTCCCTGCTGCTGATTGGCGGAACTTTAGCCAATCACGAGAAGCCAGCTGGAGTAAATATGATGGAGGTGAAGTGAAATATGATGTTGACTTTAGGTAGTTTACTAATGGTGACGCCTGGTAGGTTAGGTTAGGTCAGGTTAGGTTAGGTTAGGAGGACCAAGGACCCGAGAATAAAGAGAAAAGAAGAAAAATACAGTACTATATAAACAGGAAAACGGAAAAGGACAAATATTAGAAGAAAAAAACGAAATAACAGAAAAACAACAGAATAAAGGCCTCATAAAATAAAGCACGCACACACACATGCACGCACGCACACACACATGCACGCACGCACACGAACTGACTCCGACTCACAGCATCACGTCCGCGTGTAATCAATTTTCTTTCCCGAAAAAAAAAGAAATCTTTGCCAACTTTCTAAGACACAGAGTCGACTAAGACACAGTTACCAGTTACCTTTACGACACAGTCTACTTAACCCCTTCACTACAGGGTCACCACTTTTGCTATTTTATTTACCAAACACCAGTTGACATTATTCAACACAAAGTGAATCCCGACGACAAGTGGTTAGGTTAGGTTGGGTTTAGGGTGCTAAATCATCAGATAACATAAGCAGGGTGGTTAATCCTCTGTAAGTTCGTTGAGCGTAGATGATCAACTTCTGGTGGGGGGGGGGGGGCAGTCAATCTTGTTTCCTTGAGTAAATTTCTTTCTTGTCGAATCTTTTATTATTTTTGTGTGGTCAGCTCCAGGTGGATCTTCTTGTCTGTGAGCCTTTTTCAAGACTTCTGAGAGACTTTATATAGTACACAATACACACCAGGAGGTCGACCTTTAGTAGTGCTGAGTCATCTTCCTCTCCACCTGTTGCTGTTATTGACAACCACACACACACACACACACACACACACACACACACACACACACACACACATTACCGTCATCTTACACCACTAATGCGGACGCCACTATACTACGGGCCAATGAACCATTAAAACATTCCTTACTTGCTCCGAATTTATGCTAGAGATCCGCTGTACCTTTAAATGTTTGTCTGTGGTTTGTTGATTACTTCAGTATACCTGTATTTTAACGACCTCATGCCCACTGAACTTAACTCTTGCCCACCGACCCACCTCTTGCCTACTGACCCACCTCTTGCCCACTGACCCACCTCTTGCGCACTGACCCACCTCTTGCCCACTGACCCACCTCTTGCCCACTGACCCACCTCTTGCCCACTGACCCACCTCTTGCCCATCGACCCACCGACCTCAGTTTCGATGCTTGTGTTGGCCAGCAGTTCTTGATGGCTTGAGGAGTCGAGGTAAAACAAAGTGGTGACATGGGTCGAGGTGTTCTGATGGGTGATGACATGGGTCGAGGTGTTCTGATGGGTGGTGACATGGGTCGAGGTGTTCTGATGGGTGATGACATGGGTCGAGGTGTTCTGATGGTGATGACATGGGTCGAGGTGTTCTGATGGGTGATGACATGGGTCGAGGTGTTCTGATGGGTGATGACATGGGTCGAGGTGTTCTGATGGGTGATGACATGGGTCGAGGTGTTCTGATGGGTGATGACATGGGTCGAGGTGTTCTGATGGGTGATGACATGGGTCGAGGTGTTCTGATGGGTGGTAAGAAAGTAAACTGGAAAATATAGAGTAACTGTTCTCAAATAGTGCGTCGGCCTAACGTGGTTGATTAACACATTGTTCAGATATAATGACGTGGTTGAATTAGAGATTTAGCCATATCTGTAAGACATTGTTCAGATGATATAATGACGTAGTTGACTTAGACATTTAGCCATACCTCAAAAGACATTGTCCAGAGGCAGTATAGTCGTGTGGGGGGGAGGGGTAAGGATTTAGACATGAAGGTAGTTGATCTTGATGAGACATGTGCGTGGTTGAGGAAGACATACAGCCATACTGACGAGTGGTAGAGCGGTAGAGGAGAGGGGGGGGCGTGGGAACAGCATACAATACAGCACATACCTGAGAGGAAGGACAGAGGAAGGCGTGCAGGTGTGTGTGTGTGAGAAAGAAAGAAAATGTGTGTGTGTGTGTGTGTGTGTGTGTGTGTGTGTGTGTGTGTGTGTGTGTGTGTGTGTGTGTGTGTGTGTGTGTGTGTGTGTGTGTGTGTGTGTGTGTGTGTGTGTGTGTGTGTGTGTGTGTGTGTGTGTGTGTGTGTGTGTGTATGTGTGTGTGTCTCAGTCAGTAGTAGACAGATGTTCTCAGGGCTTCATGAATATTTTCTCTATATAATTACAATGATCCTTTCTTTTAACCTAACCAAACCTGCTTCTCTTTCATATAGGGACGGGACTCTGCAGTCATCATCATCATCATCATTACTCTCATCATTCTCCCCACATCTAACACAAACACGTGTCACTGCTCAATCGCTACATTGCCTCACTACTAAGAGCCAGGGTTCAGTAAATCACCAGGTGTTATCTTACAGAGTCACACCCCCATCACGACTCTTAACAAGGTTTTATTCGCGGCACGACTCGGCACGACACGGGACGACTAACACCCAAATTTACGACTCCCAAGTGGACAATTTCCTCGTTGGGGGAATCACGCGACGCTCCTCCTGCTGTTTAAGATAATGGTGACGAAGTGGCGTCTTGGTGCGTGACAGAGAGTCTTAACCAAGATAGTTTTGTCTAATCTGACCTAACTTAATCAGACCAAGCTATTTTACTCTAATATAACCTAACCTAACTTAAAGAGGTTCACGACCACTTATTTTCACTTAAGAGGATTCATATCTCTCGACATACAACTTAAGAAACCGCCATTACGACACTTACACAACTAGGGAAATAATTGACTCTATTTTCTCTAAAAACTTCTAATTTACTTTATTCTCTTTACATAAAACTTCTAATATACTTTAATCTCTTTACTTAAAACTTCTAATTTACTTTATTCTCTTTACATAAAACTTCTAATATACTTTAATCTCTTTACTTAAAACGTCTAATTTTCTTTATTTTCTTTACTTAAAACTTCTAATTTACAGTTCTCTATTTCCTATCCTTAAAACTTCTAATTTACTTTAATTTCTATCGTTAAACTTTCTATTTTTTATTCAATATTCTGGGGGAAACTTCGCTAAATCCAACTTGGTGTAAGACTGACCGTATACACGTAAGGGGTCGTGAGCGTGTTGGTGTTCACGCATCGGTACGCCACATGCATCGACCCTCATCCTCTGGGGTCATACTCGAGGAAAATCTTCAAGTTTTAGGTATAAATTGTAAGCCACACGTCGACTTTCCAATTTTATAAAAGCCTTAGTTGGTGATTTTATCTTTATCGTCTACAGGAATAATACAGTTTTGTGTGTGTGTGTATGTATGTATGTATGTATGTATGTATGTGTGTGTGTGTGTGTGTGTGTGTGTGTGTGTGTGTGTGTGTGTGTGTGTTACCATGGTGACAGGGGGAGCCATAGGTGGGATGCCAAGAATCAAGAGCATTGTTAAGGTTACTGACCCAGAAAATTACTTCTTGTGACTTCCTAAACTCTCCGATAGATGGCCAAACAAGCCCCATTCTTACTAATTCCAACCAAACCTAACCATTTATATTGGGCCCACAGTCCTAATGGGCTTCAATCCTCAGGAGACCCAATCGTAATAGACCCCAGTTCTCAGGCATCCCTATCCTGATCGGCTTCAATCTTAATGGGACCCAATTTTAATGGGCCCCTAGTCCTAATGGGTCCCTAGTCCTCAGACACGACCGGGACCCAGCAAGAGCCTTTAACCAAGTCTTCATCTGGGACGACTGCAGCTTCCGTGTGGCTGTGGTCACTCGTGATCAGGGAAACTATTTTGACTGGTTCAGCTTCCAGGAACACAAAAGGGTGAAGTGAACTGCAACAACCCCCCCTACTCCCTACCCACTCCTCTTCCTCCTCCTCCCCCCAGCCAGGTCGTCTCAATAGACCAGGATTTCTTTTTTTTTTGCCGGCAGCCATCACCATGAAGTTGGCGGCTCCTGTGTTACGAGGCTGTGTCATCCTCACTCTCCGGCTGTGGGATTTTCCTGTTATTAATTTACAAAGACGAAGGTATCATCTTTTTTTCTATTTTTAATATATGATAAAAAATATATTTACCCTTTTTATTTTATCAAGAAAATATTATCTTGAACGTATTTTTTATTATATTCATTAATTATAAACTCACCAACTGTTTTGAATAATTTAAGCAATAATCTAATTTAACAGTAGTTATTGTTAATGTTCCCTGTTGCATCTTTCTTAACCCAGTAAGGAGTAAAATCTTCGTAGTCGACATAATTCTAAAAATTATAATCTAAAGATAAAATTGAAACATAAAACATTTGCATTTTGGTTTATTTCAAGAATTAGTTTATCCTTTCTTCATCTTGACTGATTGAAATAAAGCAGAGTTAAATCTTCCCAAAACACATCGCTTGAATGTGTTTTATTTTAGGACGCGACAATATAAAAGTCTGGTCAAGAGTCTAGAATTCATGCACTGATTGTTTGTTATAATTGTAAGGGGAGATGTGAGAAAGCAACTAAGGGACTCACTTTAGCTATGATAAATAAATAGCAACTTAGATATAAAATTGAGAACTTAGGGTCATGTAACAAGTCCTTTCCTCTCTGATTATAGTGAAAAGTATCGTAAGAATCCTCTAAAATCTTCTCTCTCATCTCACATATCCGCCATTTTGATCAACACCTGCCGGTTCAAGGTTAGGTCCTACCCTTCTCTCCTCTCCTCACGGCGTCCTTCCCACCATTATCCTGGTCATTTCCTGTCCCTCGACGCCTCCTCCATAGAGCACAGAGGCGTTTCACGGACCTTAATTGCCTCTTGTACGAGGGAGAGTTCAATGTGTAATTGTGTAGACAGCAAGACGGATCTCTCATTTTGGCGGGAAGGGGTGAGGTCCTTCCCGCGCTTTGTGGTAGTAATTCTATACGTTGCCTTCTATACCCTTCCCCACCACCCACCCCGACCCCCACCACCCACCCCAACCCCCTCCCTCGGCCTCAACAACAATAACAAACATTATTTCCTTTCAACTTGAGTTCTATAATGAAAGGGAATTAGAGTCTATTTGAGGTTGTCTTTCATTCTTCAATTGAATTCTCATCAGCCGTCGTCTCATTCGAGTTTGTTTTAATACAACTTTTCTATCAAAAGCAACGTCAACAAAGAATGATAAAAACACAGTGACTGTTCGCCCTAGGAAGGATCAAACAGCACTTACGAGACCCCCACGTACATCAGCAGTTCCCAGGCAACGATGGGTAGCGAGTCAATATTTAAGACAAATAATATTCCTAACATGTATTTTGTCCGCGCTGCCTCGGTCTGTTTGTACTCGGTGAGTTGCAAGTTTGCCCGCCATTGTCCAAGGATTTTTTGGTGAGCTGGTCACATGGTGGAGAGTGGTGGAGGGGAGCTGCCTTCTACACCACATGTTTATTCCTTTACCAAAAAGTCTTACAGCAGCCTGAGAGTGATTCTGGTGACGAGCCACACATAACTCTGTACAACTGATGCCTGGCCTTAATGTGCCCTACATAGATAATGACCCTTTTTTTAACATGTGAAGGAACTTTTATAAGATTAGAAAATGTAATCGGAATATTCTTGAGCAAATTCGTAATAATCATAATAATAATAATAATAATAATAATAATAATAATAATAATAATAATAATAATAATAATAATAATAATAATAATAATAATAATAATAATAATAATGGCTAGTTATAAAGACTTGGAAAATGTTGATTCGCAACTAAAATCAGTCTTACTTTACGTGGGAAGGGGGGAGGGCGAGGTGAACCTTGTAGGTATATCCACTAGGGGACCTCTCAGTATAGGTTAATAAAGGTAGCAGCCCTCTCTATATTGGTTTCAGGCGTCCCAGGAACTAGCAGTACCTCAACACGACGAAGGCTACTCCTAGTCCTAGATGCGTCCTAAGACAAGATAGGAACCAGTGAGTAAGTTTCCATGCCTTCCAGACGTCGTTTCTACCTGACACTACACCCCCACCACCACCACCACCACCACTACTACTACTCAACCTTCACATGTAGACGTGAGAGAGTCCAGAAATAAAATTATGCCCTGAAGGAACAAGAAGAGTATACGCTTCGGCCCTCACACCGGGAGCACTACACGCTGCCGCAGCATCAAGACCAGACCCACGGACACACAGACCTCATGCCCGGAGGCCGCCAGCCCACATAGTCCACGCCCAGATATCCAGCAACACCAGCAGGGCAGCTGGACATGCCCAGAAGACAAAGTGGGCAGCCAGGCACGCCCAGAACACGTGTCCAGCCCCAAGATCAGAAGGCGAACCAGCCACAATCTGACCAGACCAGTAAGCCAGCCACACCAGGCAGACCAGCCAAGCTCTGACCAGACCAATAAGCCAGCCACACCAAGCGGACCGAAGGCGTCAGCAGATGAACCAGCTTGATCGGGACAAGGGACAGTCCCACCAGGTGTTGATCACTGTTGAAGGGTCAGCACCAAATCAATTGGACATGAGGAACTGCAGGGGGTAATTACCGCCTTCGTGACTGTGTCGGAGCCTCCACAGTGTGTTCACCATCAAGTTTGAATTTTGAATTTGACCACAGACTGCACCCAGGAGCACAAGGACCCGTCAGACCAAACAAGGGCTCTAACTTTACCATGTAGCATGAAGTGTACCGAGGGGAAGGACGAGGATACGTACGTGTGTGTGTGTGTGAACCACCGCCCTCAGGTACAGTACGTCTCTTCAGGGACAGCAACAGCAGCACCAACTCTGCTGACGTAGTAGGACTCACACCCACACTCACCATATCACTCCAGCACATCATCCTGCACATCACAACACAACAAGAACAGCCAGTAGCTCGGCAACAGTAAAAAAAAAAAAAACTTTTAACTAAATCATTTGGCCAATAATGACACCAAATATCATCATCCTCAGACATCGCCCGGATAAGCAAGAACACAAATAAACGGCACCTGGAGGAGTGAGGGAAGGGCGCGGTGTACGGAAAGGGGAAAGAAAGAGACGCGATGAACAAGATGTTATCCAACTTATACCGAGAAAAAAATCCTTCACACTACATTAATCCGGATACATCAATTCACACACTGTACTGTACCTCCGTCACACACTGTACTGTACTCTCCACACACTGTACTGTACCTCCGTCACACACTGTACTGTACCTCCGTCACACACTGTATTGTACCTCCGTCACACACTGTACTGTACCTCCGTCACACTGTACTGTACCTCCGTCACACACTGTACCTCCGTCACACACTGTATTGTACCTCCGTCACACTGTACTGTACCTCCGTCACACACACTGTATTATGCCTCCGTCACACTGTACTGTACCTCCGTCACACACTGTACTGTACCTCCGTCACACACTGTACTGTACCTCCGTCACACACTGTACTGTACCTCCGTCACACACTGTACTGTACCTCCATCACACACTGTACTGTACCTCCGTCACACACTGTACTGTACCTCCGTCACACACTGTACTGTACCTCCGTCACACACTGTACTGTACCTCCGTCACACACTGTACTGTACCTCCGTCACACATGTACTGTACCTCCGTCCACACACTGCTACTATACCTCAAATACACACTGTACTGTACTCCGTCACACACTGTACTGTACCTCCGTCACACTGTATTGTACCTCCGTCACACACGCATGCTGTACCTCCGTCACACACTGTATTGTACCTCCGTCACACACTGTACTGTACCTCAATCACACTGTACTGTACCTCCGTCACCACACTGTACTGTACCTCAAGTCACACACTGTACTGTACCTCCGTCTGCTGTATTGTACCTCCGTCACACACTGTACTGTACCTCCGTCACACACTGTATTACCTCCGTCACACACACTCTTCCACCTCCGTCACACCACTGTACCTCCGTCACACACTTCACTGCCTCCTTACCCCCCGCTGGATGCTTCAGTGTAGTGCTCGCTAAGTGAAAATGTTCCTCCATGTTTACACAATAAACGTAAACATGAGTCACAAGATGATACGACAATCTATGTTTACAACACACCCGCACAGCATTCTATTTGGAGGAACTTTATTTTGGTATAATTTAGCGATTAACTCAAGCTAACTTAACCACAATAACCTCACATCCCACCACGATCACCACCACCACTAGCAGTAGACAGGGCTAGGCAAGGCAGGGCAGGGCAGGGCAGGGCAGGGCAGGGCAGGGCAGGGCAGGGCAGAGCTAACTCAAGTATCTTAGATAAGGTGTTCAGATACCCCTTGAAGACTACCCAGCCGTGACGCTCTGCCCATTGTTACCTGAGGCAAATTGGTCGTAATCACCTCGTTCGCTCGTTCTATGGCTCCACTGTTGTAGTTTAGAGAGCGAGTTACAGGCGTCTGTTTTACTAATTGTGGCTGGTGGTAGTATATATAGGTCGCTGGGGATGGTTTGTGTGTTGGTGATGGGGTTTATTTTTATTTCATTCCTTTGAT